GATGGCCTGCAGGCCGAGCAGGAGCGTTCCCGTCGAGGGTGCTGCAGCGCCGGCGCTGGATTTGTTTTAGCAGCGATGTCCCCGATGTTCCAGGTGGAGCGGCACGGATTCACTGGGTCAGATGTCCCTTTTTATCCTGTTTTCTGTCCTTTTGTATTGGTTTCTGTTTGGATCCTTCATTTGCAGGAAGGTTTAAGGCACTTGATTGGCCATCACAGTTCTGTCCAGGCTGGCTCGTGGTGCACTTTACTGAGGTGTGGTTATGGTATGGTATGGTATGGTATGGTATGGTATGGTATGGTATGGTATGGTATGGTATGGTATGGTATGGTATGGTAAGTACCATATTTCTTACAACTACCCTTTTAACCCCTTGTACAATATAATAACCAAACTAACAGTACATGCTTAACAATCTATCAACTATTTACAACAGTTTACAACCTATTTTTGACAGCACCACGGCATGGTGTGTGATGCTATGCCACATCTGGCCATGCCATGCCATTCCATGCCATGCCAGCACACCATGCTATACTGCACCATGCTGTTCCACATGATAAGACATGGTGTTATGTGACATTGTATTATTTAGTGCTCCACATGGTACTATGTGATATCATGCCACACCTTGTAATGCCACGCTACTCGTTGTCCTGCTGCACTGTGGCCCACCATGCCATTTGCTGGCCATAGCTGGGGCAGAGGTGACAGTTTCAGGCAGCTGCCAGGGATCCACCATGGGATGCCCACCTCAGCCACCTCCCAGCTGTGGTGTGGGCACGGAGACAGAGTGGTGGAGGGTCCTGCATGGGTCAGGGTGGTCCCTGGGCTGTGAGGTGGTCCCCCATGCCCTGAATTTTCACCCAAAAAGCAGCCAAATCAGAAGGATTTTCCCATCTGTAACTCCATCCCCCATGAGTAATGAGCTGAGCCATGCTGTCCTAGAAAACTTTTTATTTCCACCTCCATCCACATACAAGTTAAAAGCAAAAATAAATAAGGGGCACAACAAGTAAGTACCAAAGCAATGGGAAGACACAATAAATAAATAAATAAATACATATATATATAGACTGGGATGGCTCGAGCCCATGGGGCCCAGAGCTGCTATTTCACATGAAATAGATGAGGAGGGAGGTTGTGTCCCAGGGGTTGTACTTAGTACATACAGCCTGAAAACCGGTGACTGCCGGTTGAGTTGGGTTGGTGCAGGGTCTTCAGCGCCTGCTCAGCTCGTAGGTAGCGATGTTCACCTGGTCTGGGGTGTTGGTGATGCCCACGGGCTGGCGGGGCTGCAGAGATGTGCAGACGAACCAGCCAGGGAAGGCGGCTGACTCGAAGCGTGTGGTCCCCTCAGCTGGGCTGTCCAGGCGGTAGAAGATGAAGCGGGTCAGCTCCACACTCTCAATATCCCTCCTGATGTCAGCTTCCTACAGCCAGAGGGGTGAAATGGTGGTCCATAGGTTGACTTTATGAGTTAAAAATTAAAAGTTCTTCCTAAAATTTGCCCTGAACCAAGACAAAGGTGGAATGAGCCCCCAGCCCCACAGAGGACAGACTGCTGGGACCCCTTGCTCACCTCCAGCTGCAGCACAGGCTTGGTGCCACTCATCACACATGACATGTAGAGCTGGTAGCCCTTGATGCCCAAGGCCACTGGCACCCTCCCAGAGCCTGGAGCGCCCTGCGATGACCGGGGACGGTACAGAGCAATGTTGAGCTTCACTGCAGAGAGAAGGGACAGGTAAAGGGGTGCTCCTGGGCTTGTGGGGTGGCTCCTGGGTGGTCCAGGGTTTGGGGACAGGGACATTGGGATGCGACCATATGCTCTCACCTTTCTGTCCAGCAGAGGGTCCCTGCAGGTGCAGGGCCACCAGCTGGGTGGGTGACTCCAGTACGAAGCACTTGTGGTCAATGTCCAGGATGTCGAAGGACTGGGAACGAGTGTAGCGGAAAACGGGTGCCCTGGTATAACTGCCCTTGATGCACTGGAAGGAGACGGGCTCTGTGGGGAGAGAGACAGTCAGGAGGATGCTGCTCCCAGCTCCAAGAATGTCCCCCAAGAATACCCTCTGGCTGGGGTGCCAGCACTGACATCACCCTCATACCGAAAATATCATCCAAGAAGCTGCCAAGGTCACTGTCTGCAAAGTCCTTGCGTGCTGGCTGCTTCAAGAGCTTGGTCACAGCCACCACCAGGATGGCAGCCTGGCGAAAGGTCCTGGAAAGGGGTCCTTTTGTCACTGTCACCTGGATGCCCACCCCAGGCGATGTCCCCTCCAAGTCCAGCCGGGGCTTCTGGGGAAGAAAGGGGATGTAGGGTGAGAGCCTGGCTTCCATACAACACGGACCCCACCACTCCCACCACCACAGCCTTACCTTCTGCGGGCACAGACAGCTGGGGCCATACAACGTCTCCTCGTTCAGGCTGAAAGGCAAAGGGACGTGGTGAAGTCAGGGTCAGGAATGCAGCCTCACATCCCCAAAGTCCTCTCTGGCATGTCTGTTCTTACCTGCTGCTCTCCAGTGTGTCCAAGTCAGGGACGAATGCCATTGCCACCACTGTCTGAAGAGTTCTGGGCTGAGACTTCACAGCACCTGCAAACTTCTGAGGCACTTATTTGCCTGCTCCTGCCTGTTCTGCCTGCAGTGCTGCTTGGCTGCTCTCTGAGCCCAGTGTCAGCGTGCCTGGTTTTCAAGAGCCTGTAGAAGGAAGTGCCGTCAGAGTGGGATTTCCAGGTTTCGCAACGCCTGGTTTTGCCCAATTACTCTGTTGAGACTGGAGGGCTGGGGGCGGGGCTGGTTGCCCCCAAGTAGTGCAGTGGGGAGGCAGAGCATGGAGCAGAGCGGGGGATACTCCAGGACCAGATATGGGTCAGAGCTGGGGATGAGCCAGAGCTGGGTTGTGGGGCACAGCAGAAGGATGCTCCAGGGCTGGTGTGTGGGGCAGAGAGCGGAGGGGTGTTTGGCGTTGATGTGTGGGGCCTCTGACCATGTGCCAGTCTGCCATTTGGTTGACACAGCAGGAGTTGGAATCACTCAGAGCCAGCTCCGACCCCAGTCCCAGCGCCAGCCCCAGCCCAGCTGTGACAACACTGTCACCGTTAGGGCCGGGGACTGTGGGTGTCCCGGACGTGGCCGGTGATGCAAGCGCTGCCTCTCCACCATTTCCCCACAGCTTCCTCCCGTACTGCCCAGACCCCTGGTGCCATGGCCAGTTGTGCCTCCTATGTCACCCCTCTTGTACGCACTGCCCCAACACCAGTGGGTGCAGGACCCTGCTGAAATAAATAGGGAAGGAGATCTTTCTCCTTTTTAATGCCTTTATTAAAAATCAGCTCAGGTGGGGAGAACTGATGGGTCGCACTCACGCTGCCACTGCTCCCAGGAGCGGCACGGAGGAGGAAGAAGAGTGCATCTGTGTCTGCTGGTCTGCAGTCAGAGCTGAGGCTTCCATCCTTACAAGAACACCAGAGGATCCCCAATTTTTGGGTTTGACATTCGAGGTCCTCTTTCTAGCCGACATCTTTTAGGTTAGGGTGAGGGGTAAAAAGGGTCTTAGCGGATACTGGATGCTGTTCCTCACGTCTAGGCATCACTTTGATCTCTTAATTCCATGGTGGCTCGGGTTTTTTAGGGGTTTTTCCTGCTAGATTTGTTGAGGGGTTTCCTCATTTGCATGCCAACCCCGATGTCCCCTCCTCTTCGTAGTCCCGGGTACCAAAGGGGGATAACTAACCATCAGGAACAGGTAATTAAAGGAAAACTATTAACAACAGAGGATTACAATATGAAATTATTAACAACAAATAGTTAGAACTCGAATTTGGCAGCAATTCGCTTAACTTGTGAACTCTGTAACCTTTAATAACTGGACAACTTTTCTACTCATAACACTGCTGTCCGCTCAGTTTCTTCTGACCTGGGGACATGGCCTTCAGAGACATGGCCTTTAGGGGCCTTCCTCATCCTCACCTCCATCCGGTGTGCCGGAGATTGCACCATGCTGGGAGGGCCGGGGATGTGCGTGGCCAGGCTTGCGTGGACTCGGGCTGTTGGGGTGTTTTCCTGGCACCCGTTTCACTTCCTGAAAGTGCCATCCAGCCCTGCACACTCCCGTGCCCGAGACTGGCACCACCATGACTCACTGCCAGGAAATTGCCAGAAAAGCAGAGTTCCCAGAGCACCTCCTGTGCCCTGCTGGGCATCCCACATGGCTGGATATCCGCAAACGCCTGAGGTGCCCCGGAACAACGGGTTCTCCACGATACAGTGGTGGTCCCAGGTCATGGCAGAGGCCCCCAGGGCACGGTTGGGATCCTGAAGCCATGGTGAGAGTCACCAAGCCACGATGAGGGCTGAGACCATGAACCATGGTGGGTGTCCCCGGGCCATACAAGGTATCCTGGCCGTGGTGAGAGTTCCCCGGCCATGCCGGGGGTCCTCGGTCCGT